AAAATGAAAGTAGATCAAAATAAACAAGATGGATGCCAAGGGATCTAGAAGATTGAGTTTGAAGCGTATTAAGCTTTATTTAAGTGAATTTATTTATAATAAAAAGTTGAAACAGTAAGTAAATATTGTGAAATGATATGTCAGTTAACTTGTATTTCAAATAAACCTAAAAAATCGAAATTATATGTAACGTAAGATGTATAATACATCCAATAATTTACACAAACGTCGTATCGTCAGCCGTCCGACATGAATTTCAGCCGACTATGGTTATTATAAAAGTCGCTTATTATAAAGTTTTGGCCTGACAAATAAACCATGATAATAAACGAATTGTACTGTAATTATGTACATGTGATGTTTTTGATGAATTTTTAGTCAATGATATTGATGAACTACATAGTTATTTGAAAACGCAACTTGTTTATAGACATTTGGCAATACATACATGTAATAATATGCAATATTGTTTTTGTAAATTTTAATTTAGTCAATGAAATTGATGAACTTCAAGTATTAATTTCAAAGCACATGTGATTGGATATAAAATAATCTGTTGATTTAATATCAGGAAGACAAATATTAAAGTAAATTACTACGTTAATAATATTTTTCCAATTTATCATAATGCATGTATCATATTGTGCTATATGTATCGAGATACATATTGTATTGCAAGACCTGTGTATCGTCCCACCCCTAATATTTAAAGACAGCAACAACTAGAACTGTCCAAAAGGGATGAATATCCCCCGCTGGGTTTTTCAGAGAAGGTACCAAATCACTAATGTTTTCTAGATGTGAGAGGTGTTCACAATTTCCTTAAACATTTACAGTGAAAATTTAATTACTCATTATATTTTTTTAATGAATGAAACTAAGGTGCAGCCTAATAAAACATCAATACTAGTAATTACAGTGTTTTTTATTACATTGACAAAATAGTTTGCAACTATCTGTCATCTTTGTGAGACATGACACTCTGCAAATTGATTGTTGAAAAAAAATATTATAATTAATTATACAAAATCAAATTGATTTTAATACCTTTATATCAAACTCATTTTAAAAATAAAAGGCTGGTTCCAGTAACTATGTATTTTGACAAACATAAATTACAATTAAGAGACTTAGACAACAGAGATCTTTATTTCTTTCTGCCCCATTCCCAGGAGATATAGATAAGACCTGCTTCATCAGAGATGCCTTAACAGCTTCCCACACTGAACTCATTAATTAATCTTTAACTGGATGCATGTCCACTCATTACTCCCAAGGGACAAATGGATTTACACTATCTGCTGTGTAATGTAAAAACTGTTTTTGATACTTTGTGATTTTTTTTTTAGTTCTAATGAGTAGTTTTAAGCTGTAGTTCACATTTTTGTATAGATGTTCTAGATTCTATGTCTCTAACCTTAGACATGAACCCGAAATGACTAAGTTAATAAAAATGAAAAAAAAAACACCTGTAAAATGCAGAAAAATTATCAAATAATGTTGAAAATACCAGGTGCACATCTTCATATGGTAAATAATAAGTGTACAATTTTCATACAAATCTATGCAATAGTCTCTGGGAACAGATCCGGACAAAACCACATTATAAAAATGAAAAAAACACCTGTAAAATGCAAAAAAATTATCCAATCATGATGAATATACCAGGTGCACACCTTTATATGGCAAAGAGTAAGTGTACAAATTTTCAGACAAATCCTTGCAACAGTTTCCAAGAAATGGTCCGGACAAAATCTCGTCTACAGACAGACAGACGGACAAGCTGATTCCAATATACCCCCCCTAAACTTCGTTTGCGGGGGGGGGTATAAAAATGAGAACAAGAGGCCCATGGGCCACATCGCTCACCTGAGCATATTGGCTAGGAAAAAAACAAGAGGCCCATGGGCCACATCGCTCACCTGAGCACACTGGCGAGGAAAAAAAGAAAAAATCAGTTCAGTATTGAAAAGTTAACGGGGGAGAGAGAGGGGGGGGGGGGATGGGGGATTTTAAACTACCAATGCTTTCATATCAATATAACAAATAACTTTGCTGTTCTTGAGCAGAAGATTTTTTCCCATATATTCATTTGTAAAAATTTGATCCCCAATTGTGGCCCCACCCTACCCCCGGGGGTGCTCATTTGAACAATCATTTGAACGATGCTTCCATATCAATTTGACTAATCATGGCTTTTCTGTTCTTGAGAGAAAGATTTTTTCCTATATATTCCTCTGTAAACTTTGATCACCCATTGTGGCCCCATCCTACCTCCAGGGGTCATGATTTGAACAAACTTGAATCTACACTACCTGAGGATGCTTCCATATAAATATGATCAATCATGTCTTTGCTTATCTTGAGAAGAAGATTTTTAAAGTTTTTTTCTATATACTCTTACGAAAAACTTTGACCCACCATTGTGGCCCCACCCTACCCCCAGGGGTCATGATTTGAACAAACTTGAATCTACACTACCTGAGGATGCTTCTACATAAATATGACCAATCATGGCTTTGCTGTTCTTAAGAAGAAGATTTTTAAAGATATTTTCCTATATATTTCTATGTCAAACTTTGATCCCCCATTGTGGCCTCACCCTACCCCCGGGGTCATGATTTGAACAAACTTGAATCTACACTACCTAAGGATGCTTCCATATAAATATGACCAATCATGGCTTTGCTGTTCTTAAGAAGAAGATTTTAAAGATATTTTCCTATATATTTCTATGTCAAACTTTGATCCCCCATTGTGGCCTCACCCTACCCCCGGGGGTCATGATTTGAACAAACTTGAATCTACACTACCTGAGGATGCTTTCATATAAATATGACCAATCATGGCTTTGCTGTTCTTAAGAAGAAGATTTTTAAAGATATTTTCCTATATATTTCTATGTCAAACTTTGATCCCCCATTGTGGCCTCACCCTACCCCCGGGGGTCATGATTTGAACAAACTTGAATCTACAGTACCTGAGGATGCTTTCATATAAATATGACCAATCATGGCTTTGCTGTTCTTAAGAAGAAGATTTTTAAAGATATTTTCCTATATATTTCTATGTAAAACTTTGATCCCCCATTGTGGCCCCACCCTATCCCCGGGGGTCATGATTTGAACAAACTTGAATCTACACTACCTGAGGATGCTTTCATATAAATATGACCAATCATGGCTTTGCTGTTCTTAAGAAGAAGATTTTTAAAGATATTTTCCTATATATTTCTATGTAAAACTTTTAATCCCCCATTGTGGCCCCACCCTACCCCCGGGGGTCATGATTTGAACAAACTTGAATCTACACTACCTGAGGATGTTTCCACATAAGTTTCATCTTTCCTGGCCAGTGGTTCTTGAGAAGAAGATTTTTAAATGATGCCATTATTTTTTTCACTTATTCCTAATTATCTCCCCTTGAAAGAGGGCATGGCCCTTCATTTGAACAAACTTGAATCCCCTTCACCCAAGGATACTTTGTGGCAAGTTTGGTTGAATTTGGCCCAGTGGTTCTTTAGAAGAAGATGAAAATGTGAAAAGTTTACAACAACGCCAAGGCCAACGACAACGCCGACAACGACGATAGACAACGGACAAATTTTGATCAGAAAAGCTCACTTGAGCCTTTGGCTCAGGTGAGCTAAAAAGCAAAAATCAGTTCAGTATTGAAAAGTTTAGGGGGGGGGGGGGGGAGGGGGGGGGGTCGGGGGAGGGTGTTGAATTTTAAACTACCTGATGATGCTTTTATATTAATATAACAAATGGCTTTGCTGTTCTTGAGCAGAAGATTTTTTCCCATATTTTCATTCGTAAAAATTTGATCCCCCATTTTGGCCCCAACCTACCCCCGGGGGCCCTCATTTGAACAAATTTCATTCTACATTACCCATGGATGCCTCCATATCAATTTGACTAATCATGGCTTTTCTGTTCTTGAGAAGAAGATTTTTTCCAATATATTTCTCTGTAAACTTTGATCACCCATTGTGGCCCCACCCTACCTTCGGGGGTCATGATTTGAACAAACTTGAATCAACACTACCTCCGGATGCTTCCATATAAATATGACCAATCATGGCTTTGCTGATCTTGAGAAGAAGGTTTTCAAAGATATTTTCCTATATATTTCTGTGTAAAACTTTGATCCCCCATTGTGGCCCCACCCTACCCCCGGGGTTCATGATTTTAACAAAATTGAATCTACACTACCTGAGGATGCTTCCATATAAATATGACCAATCATGGCTTTGCTGTTCTTAAGAAGAAGATTTTTAAAGATATTTTCCTATATATATCTATGTAAAACTTTGATCCCCCATTGTGGCCCCACCCTACCCCCGGGGGTCATGATTTGAACAAACTTGAATCTACACTACCTGAGGATGTTTCCACATAAGTTTCATCTTTCCTGGCCAGTGGTTCTTGAGAAGAAGATTTTTAAATGATGCCATTATTTTTTTCACTTATTCCTAATTATCTCCCCTTGAAAGAGGGCATGGCCCTTCATTTGAACAAACTTGAATCCCCTTCACCCAAGGATACTTTGTGGCAAGTTTGGTTGAATTTGGCCCAGTGGTTCTTGAGAAGAAGTCAAAAATGTGAAAAGTTTACTGACAGACAGACAGACGGACGCCGGACAAAATGTGATCAGAATAGCTCACTTGAGCCTTCGGCTCAGGTGAGCTAAAAAAACACCTGTAAAATGCAAAAAAAATTATCCAATCATGATGAAAATACCAGGTGCACACCTTCATATGGCGAATAAGTGTACAAATTTTCAGACAAATCCTTGCAACAGTTTCCAAGAAATGGTCCAGACAAAATCTCATCTACAGATGGACGGACAGATGGACAGACAGAGAGACATGCTGATTCCAATATACACCTCTAAACTTCATTTGCGGAGGGGGGGGGGGGGGGGGGGGGTATAAAAATGGATTTCTTTTTTTCTACCTTATGCAGAAATACAGGTTGTTTAACATTAAAATTGCCTACCACAGATGGTTTCAAGGACACTAATGATAGAGTTGTACAGGAATGAGTCTGATAATGCCAAGAACAGTTGAATGAACTTTTGCTGCAGTCTGTACATCTGAAATGGAAAACATAATTTAAGTGGACTAACTCTTTTAAACATTCAATAATCATTAGACAAAATACACATTCTGGAATTCAGAAGAGTTGCTGCATGTAGACTGTGCTATATATACTTGAGTTCTCAAATCTTTAAAAATTCCAACTGTAGACATTCATAAAGATCTATTATTTCTTCTGCAGCATATTCATACATGTATGTTACTGGAAGCATGAATGTACAAATTTTTTATCATACATATCATACTGTGGAATTTTTTGAATTAATATTCTCCAACAAAATATATATCATTTATAATTATGACAAACATATATGTATCTTTGCTTTATGGCTCTACAAAATTACAATTTCACTGAATTTGTGTAATTATATATTCCCTTGGCAAAAACTTACGTTTTGTGAAATGTGCAGTCAAATACAGATACACTTCTTTTAACAAGGGCGTGACCTTCCACATGAAATTCTACCTCAAGGTCATGGTGATCTGCAGAAAATGGGAAAAAAAAAACTATAAATACATTAATCATTTTGAAATACAGAAAAATCGATAACATTCATATAACCATATAGAGAAATATATGGTCAGTCTAATATTTTTTTCTGACATCATTCAAGTTAGCAATTATAGAATAACACAAAAGAGTATATATATGCATTACTATGTTAATAAAAAATCCGTAGTAAAGATCAGTCACCAAAATAAGCACTCTGTTTAAATAACCTGCAATACTGTACTTCTTACTGAACATTCATAAATGATACTTCAAAATAATACAGCCAAACCTCATTATAATCAGAGGGACTGAGAAAAAAGGTCTAAAAATCTGAGAATTTGAGATATCGAGAGCAAAAAACACCAAGAAAAAATCGTTGGGACTTACAACTTACTTCAACATTATATCCATGGTATTTGAGATATTGATCTTCAAGATACCGAATTTCAACTGTACAATATAAAGTAACCCTAAATAATCAACTCAGTAAAAAAAAATAATTTAACTCTTTATTATAATTCAAAAGAAAACCTACACCTCAAGCTGAAATGGAATTCTAACAAGAGGCCCAAGGGCCTTAACGGTCACCTGAGTACAATACAACAATTAAGAGGATCCATAAACTGATAAATGAAGCTTTTTTGCCCAAAAGCAAGAAAAATAGTATGATTAGCATAAACAAAATAATTGATCTAGTATCTATCTGTCCCCCATTTATCACTATTACCATGCAGACTAATAACTAAATGTCTATTTTTAACCCCATATTATTACTTCTCACATTGGCCTCTCTTGGCCTTTGAAGAACATTTAAAAAGATAAGTTATTTTTGTCTTTTTGTTTTTATTCATCTATTATTTCCAAGTCTACCTGATCATTAAAACTATGAAAGTACTTTTAAATTTGTATAAATTTTTTTGCATAATTCTTTTATTCTATTAACCTTTCAAATACATTGTTTACAGTGATTAATTATGAAAGGTGAATGGCAAAGGGGAATAACTTTGCTCAGCAGAATACAAGTTAATAGAGCCCTGGCCAGGACCAGAACACTTGACTAAATGGTCCAGGTGTTCAAAATTCTGGTAAAAATACCTTTGCATATTAAAACTTTTACTATGTTTGCCTCAAATATGCCCAGAAGCATAGAAGATTTTCAAAGAAATACATTTTCACTATATTATTAAATAAATAAAGCCCCACCCTTATACCAGAACATCTGACCCAGGGGCCATAAACTCACAATTCTGGAAGAAGAACCCTTGCTCATCATAACTATATACTTGTTTCTTTGCTTTATAAGCAGTAGTAGAAAAAATATTTTGAAAGAAATTATGCATTTTCACTATATAATCAATTAGAGTCCCCTCCCCCCCCCCCCTCTTCACCAGAACCCCTGACCCAGTGGCCATGAATTTCACAATTTTGGAAGAGGTATTCTTCCTTATCATAACCATGCACTTTCTTTGTTTGAATAATACCCAGGAGCAGAGAAGAAGATTTGGAAAGAAATTATGCATTTTCCCTATATAAACAATACAGCCCCGCCCTAACACCAGAACCCCTGACCCTGGGGCCAGGAAATTCACAATTTTGGAAGCGGCAACCATGCCTATCATAACTATGAACCTTGTTTATTTAATATCCAGGAGCAGAAAAGAAGATTTTCAATGAATTAATGCAATTTTACTATATAATCAATAGAGCCCAACCCTAACACCTGAACCCCTGACCCTGGGGCCATCAATTTCACAATTTCTGAAAAGGCACTCCTGCTCATCATAACTATGTATTTAGTTACTTTATTTGATACCCAGGAGCAGAGAATAAGATTTTCAATGAATTAATGCATTTTCACTATATAGTCAATAGAGCCCCACCCTAACACCAGAACCCCTGACCCAGGGGCCATGAAATTCACAATTTTCGAAGAGGCACTCTTGCTCATCATAACTATGTTCTTAGTTACTTTATTTAATACCCATGAGCAGAGAACAAGATTTTCAAAGAATTAATGCATTTTTCGCTATATAATCAATAGAGCCCTGCCCTAACACCAGAACCCCTGACCCTGGGGTCATGAAATTCACAATTTCGAAGAGGCGCTCTTGCTCTTCATAACTATGTACTTAGTTACTTTATTTAATACCCAGGAGCAGAGAAGAAGATTTTCAAAGGAATAATGCACTTTCACTATATGATCTATATAGCCCTGCCCTAGCACCAGAACCCCTGACCCTGGGGCCATGAATTTCACAATTTTGGTAGAGGGCTCAATGCTTACTACAATCATGCCAACAGTTTGACTGCTTGATGTCCAGGAGTAAAGAAGAAGATTTTTAAAGACTGCATTAATTTTGGTGGTTTTAGCCCCAGCCCTCAGGCCCCAGGGGGGCAGGGACCATGAAATTCAAAAATTTTGTTCCCCTTCACCCATAAATGCTATATGCCAAATTTGGTTGAAATTGGTTCAGTGGTTCAAGAGAAGAAGCTGAAAATGTTCAAAAGTTTACGACCGATGGACGACGCACGACGGACGCCGACGGACGAAAACAGATAGCAATAGGTCACCTGAGTGATTCAGGTGACCTAAAAATATCTCCCTCTTTTATACCTGAATATAACATCAATATATTAAAGGAGATGGTGTGAGAAAATAGCCAGCAATGATCTGTTGATAACACACAAGCATACATCTCACATCAATTCAAGTTCCAGTATAACACAGACAAGGGTACAATGCTAACCTATCATTACAGATATAACACCCTTGAGTTCATACAATTTCTATGCTTCAGCCCAATGTGCTGACCACAAGATAACTCATTAGTAATATCTCTCAAAAAGGGATGAGAAAGAGAGACAATTGTACCACATTTGCAGTTTTTGGGACAGGCATTCTGTGTTAGCTTCATCACATCATAAGTCTAGTAGGTAAGACTATGACAACTTGCATTATCAATACTGGAGAATTAGTAAATAGCTCAGTTTATTTAGTAAGTCCAGTGTTATTTAGTGTAGCTCAGTGTTATTTAGTATAGCTCAGTGTTATTGACTGTAGCTCAATGTTATTGACTGTAGCTCAGTGTTGTTTACTGTAGCAGCTCAGTGCTATTTAGTGTAGCTCAGTGTTATTTAGAGTAGATCAGTGTTATTTACTGTAGCTCAGTGTTATTGACTGTAGCTCAGCGTTATTGACTGAAGCTCAGTGTTATTGACTGTAGCTCAGTGTAATTGAATGAAGCTCAGTGTTATTTACTGTAGCTCAGTATTATTTACTGTAGCTCAGTGTTACTGACTGTAGCTCAGTGTTATTTACTGTAGCAGCTCAGTGCTATTTAGTGTAGCTCAGTGTTATTTAGAGTAGATCAGTGTTATCTACTGTAGCTCAGTGTTATTGACCGTAGCTCAATGTTATTTACTGTAGCTGCTCAGTGTTATTTAGTGTAGCTCAGTGTTATTGACTGTAGCTCAGTGTTACTGACTGTAGCTCAGTGTTATTGACTGTAGCTCAGTGTTATTGACAGTAGCTCAGTTTTATTGACAGTAGCTCTAGTGTAGCTCAGTGTTATCTACTGTAGCTCAGAGTTATTTAGTGTAGCTCAAGGTTATTTACTGTAGCTGAAGGTTATTTACTGCAGCTCTGTGTTATTTACTGCAGCTGAAGGTAATTTAGTGTAGTTCAGTGTTATTCTCATTGAGAGGGAGCATACACATGTAAAATACAAAATCCTTTGGAAACAAATTGTACTATCAAATAAACTTACATGTGCATTATCATATGATTATGTGCATTTTCTTAATGAGTATTATGATAATATGGACATTACAAGCACTTTAATGCAGAATCTCTAGTGCACTGACTCTCATTTTTCATACTCACAAATTAAAAACTGTGAAAAGAAAAAAATGAAACAAAAATTAATAAATACATAAGACTTAATTATGAAATGTAATTCAAACAGAAGTATGTATTGAATTTAATGTTATTATGGAAAATTTTTTACTTACCCTTACCCCTTGGTTTTAACCCTAAAGACTTGTTACTGGGCAAGAGACATGTGATCACATCATTATCCAGTGAAGCGGGAGTATGGGCAGTGATTGACATGGCAGTAAAGGCACACTGAAGGTTGCCCCTCCCACTAGTGAGAGTGACATCCGAAAGCTTAAAGCTGACCTGAAAAAAAGATAATTGATGTTTAGTTTATTCTTCATATTACATCACGTAACATCTTACAGCACAATGTACAACACAGAGTCATAAAATCTTCATTATCAAAAAAAGGATTTACTGTTTTAAAGCAATATGAGCTGCATTTTTGAGAATTTTAAAAATTTTGCTGTTAAAATGTGCTATTTTGGTAAAATTCTTATGTAATTTGAACCTTTTAGATCAATTTGACTTACAGTATTAAATTGTTATAGAAGAAAGACTTCTGTACAATTGAATATATAGTACATGTATTATATAAGGAATCAGTATTGTGCAGGACAACAATAATGTAATTCTACCTCAACCAAAGCTTATAAATAGTTCTTATATCGCAAATATGAACAACAGAAGTTTATAAACTTTTTTTTTTCCTGTCATTGAAATAGTTAATTACAATTTTGCAACAAAAAATTCTGACATCAAAGTTGCAGTTCATATTGCTTTAAGAAGCATAAACAAATAAGCCTTGTACAGATGTCTTAGCCAACCATAAGACAACATACACAGTTGAGCTTCAGTAGCATGAACATCCACATCTCGAATACCATGGATGTGTCAAAGCTGAAAGTACTAACCACATTTTCTTTAGAGATTTTACCCTCAATATTTTGAACCACTACATATACAAAACAATATATGGATATGCTTCTCCACAAATACAGTAGAAAATCATAAATGCAAGGCCTATATCATTATTTCACAAACTAAAACAATTGCATTAAAAAATGTCCTATTTCAAAGACTGGTAAATTTAGTCTAACCATAAAAAGAAATAACTATCTATCTGATTGTTCAATAAAGGCTGCTCATATGGATGTCGAACCAGGACAGATCTTAGTAAATATCAATCTCCCATGTGGAGACATTTTCTTTGTCATCTTTATAAAGTATCAAGTATCATACTTTAAAATCACTAATTTTTGTGGGGTCGAATTTTCAAGGTTTGAGGAAAAATTACTGGTTAGAGGGGAAATTTGATTATAAGGTTTAAGGAGAAACATATAAAACTGCAGTATGGAACTTTTAACATTTTGTGGGGGACATAAATTTGTGGGTCTTTTCATACCACAAAAACAACAAAAATTAAACCCCAACAAAAATGACTGACTTCACAGTATGCACTGTATTGATAAATGTATTAAGTGAATCATTACATCACTTGGACCCAGGATGAAATCCTTACTTGATGCTGGTGTTGGTTTCTACTGATATTTTCATAATTGAGGATGGAGGGTTGTATGTCTGACATCGTAGCACAGTTCTCCCGTTTAGCTGATGACAACCACGGAGGTACAATTAGTGAACTCTGACAATCTTCCTTCTCTGTGCATCTGTAGGGAAAAGGGACTTAACTCTTTCCTCCACTTAACATTTGTACTAGGTTCTCTATTTTTTTTTTATTATTTATTATTATACCTCTACTGATTTTTCCCTATATAAAACTAGATTGTTAGATGAAAATAATTTCCTAGAAATTGCTGTGAATGGACTAATTCCCCATTTTGCTGTGCATTAATTAGTCAGGTGAACTAATCTCTGTTTTGATAGCTAATTCCCGCACCAGTTAACCATAATTCTCTAAATTTTACTAAAGTAATAGTATAATAAAACAGTTAAAAACTGTATACTATATCATTTTATAAATTTTTGTGGTTTGAAGAAAAAATTATTGGTTCATAAAGATTTGATTTCATAGATGACATACATAGACAAACATGATACAGTAGTTTAAAAAATTTTTTAACATTTCCTGGCAAATTTGAATTCATGGGTCTTTTCATACTACAAAAATAATGAAATTAAACCTCCACAAAATTAGGAGTCTCAAAATTTAAAACATTTTCCACTTCTAGACCCTGGCACAAACCTGTTGTCCATGTTGCACCACCCACACACAGGGTCAAAGGTCATGACACATTTCTGGCAGGTAGTCCTTTGTTCACAATGAGAAATCCCCACCTTCACTAGCTGTCAAAGAAATGTAAATCAAGTCAACAGGTATTTTTGTCATCATTATAATCAGAAACATAAAACTGCAGACATACTTTTTTCTGCATGGGATCAATTAACGCTATATGAGAAGTTACAAATTTTCTGCAGAAATTTATTACAGCATTCTTATGTACAATGAAGATATACAATGGCAATCTAAGAAATCTGCATAATTTTCTATCCAGATTTAACACAAATTGTGATTCCATGGAATTATGACCCTGTGGGAAAAAAGTACATTTACAGTATATCAATACCATAGCTGAAATTAGTAAATTAGTGTGAATTTTGTATCTGAGAACTTGTATTCCCTGGTAAGAAAGATTAAGTAAGTTGGGATTTTTATTTAATAAGGTTATAGTATTAACAGAGACTTAGCATCAGAACATGAAGACATTTCATGAAAACTCAATTATAATTATTGTAAAATAATTGACAATAGCTGGAACTTAAGACAGCTATCAATGTTTAAATACCTTGTCCCTAGTGACTACATAGATTGACTTTTTATCAGGGCTAACAGGCATTGACATGCCCTCTTTTATGTCATGAATGTCGAGTTCATCCACTTCAGTAATGCTGGATCCAGACTTTATGTACTGTAAAATATGAAAAAAAAAAAATTTAATAAATAAGAGACCAAAGGACCACACAAGTACTCATTTTTTCTCTGAGCTTCATCATTATGTAGTCTTTTTATTTAAGAATATTTAAGGAACTACTGGTCTTGTAAGGATATAAACAGACCAAAAGATTACAGACTAATAGAAGAAAATTCTACTGAATAGTGGACTAAGATGGGTAAAACTTAACTAATTTTCAAGGGGTGCTGCCAGGAATGAAAACTCATACAAATATGTGTCAAATATCTATTGACTCAGAGAAAATAAAATAGATTGAGGCATCAGTTTTCTACACACTGATGACAAGGTCTGATTTCAATGTCAACATCAATACAGAATGTTGAATTTTCTTGCTCAGTAAGAACTAGAGATTTTTTTTTCCAAAACTCACTTCAAGTAATAATTTATGTCAGATTACCATTTTCAATTCAAAGTTCTTTTCATATTTTTTTTTTTTAAATGGGGGGGGGGGGGGGGGGGGGGGGGGGGAGGAGGGGCAGAGAGTAGAAAGCTTTAATTTTACAATGGAAATGGGGCAAGAATTTTGACTTTACAAAATTAATTACTATGCTTTTAAATAATTTTTCTGCATAGATTTGTTTCAGACTTATCAAACACACTACTGATAACATGCACTTAAAACAATATTAAATTTATCAATAAAACTTATCATTAAAAAAAACATTTAAGCTGATGAGCTTGCCACACAACCCTTATTACATTGCATAAACTTATCATTAAAAAAACTTTTAAGCTGATAAATTTTTAACTTCTTTTTTTGCTTTGAGCTGAGTCTATGAGCTGGCTACACAATACAGCTTACTTTGCGTAATAAACCATCCCCTGAGCTGACAATGATAGCAGTGTAGGACCTTTGAGCAATGACAGTTATAGAAGACAGGTAAACATTCTTCAGTCGTATAATGCTTCCTCTCAGAATCGGCTGGACACCTCCGATAGAAGCAAACCCTCCTGGAACCTTGGAGCAGTATGGGTCAGCTGTCTGTAAGATATTCAGAGACATGCTTTTATGCTACCAATCTATATTCAAATAAAAGAACTATAATAGCAATTATTTATCTCGGTGATTTTCACCTATATTTTTAAAGCAGTCTTTTTTGTCCTTTTTGGGAAGAATTTTGCATTGAAATCTCAATAAAAAAACAATTGACACCTTAAATAATGTTGTAAACAATGGCTGCGAGTCATGCAATTGAGCAGGAAAAGCATTTCACAAGCCTAATACTAGATAATCATCTAAACATTTAGACGGAATTGGTAGATGCAGATGTTATACCTTGAATCTGAACAATTTTTAATCTTTCAGAGACAGAATTTCATTACTGAAAATGGTGTCCTCATGCTAGCTCCATTGTCTTATTTATTTAATACTGGACTATGTTATAAAACAATTATGGACTCTTTAGGTGGTTAATATGGTTTGATATATTCAAAAGAGAATAAGATGTGTAATGTTTCTTCTAAATTCAGATACATTTTTGTTAACTTCAGCTGACATTTCTTTGCTGGTGAATAATTTTCGTATGGAAGACAGATTCTAAATCACATGCATCATGATGTTTGTACAATGATTGCATTATTATTGTTGCCAGCTGGCTGAAGAACTTCCTGGGACTTGCATTCATTGCAAACAATTACAGATATAATATTTACATTGGAAAAAAAATATGACGCAGAATATGACAGATTTATGACTTTTTACTATTTTATTTCCTCTGTCTGGCCTAATTTTTTAAAAATAGAGCAGCAAAAATTTTTTTTAACTCATTAAGCAACACGACACACCTGGAACAAAAAAAACAAAAACAAAAACAAATGAAAACCAGAAGTATCTGCTGAGACTTAACACTTTGACAGGCATAAATATGACGTATTACACAAAGAATGAAGGAAAAGTATTTGAATGTCCATCCTAACAGGTCTGGTAATTGTCCTGTTACTATTGTATACCGTAAAAGTGAAAATTTAAGTGTGTGTGTGTGTGGGGGGGGGGGGGGGGGGGGGGTTGGAGGGGGGGAGATTTCAATTAAATATGTGGTAAGAAAGCCTTTGCCAAAATACCCTCCCCTGACCAACTATACATTTGTTTGTTCAGTTTTAGCAATATGTGTTTCTGGTATCACTGAAACCCCTTGTGTAATATTCTCCTATTGATTTGTGGAATTCACATGTAAAATATCCAAGTTTACAGTACCGGGGTATATGTCCTGGAACTAGGTCACGTTTTTAAGATCTAGATTTCCTGTAGCCATGACATATTATTATCTTACACATGTGCAAAATATCTGTACTAAGCCAATGAAAATTTAAAAACATATAGGATACTATGAGAAATTCTAGGAAAACACTTCCATAAACTATGAATTTTATGGTAAAACATTCCTCAACTCAAGACATATAATATATATTTATGCCTCTCTTTAATCTATAAACCAACAGTAAGGGCCGGGTTGTCATGGTAATAAGAAATTGCATACATTATGTCAGGAGAAATCAGAGCCCTGCACCAACTGTTTCCAACTTCCTCCTTTGAGCACATTGAAAAGAAATTATGTCTGATAAGTTTATTTCTGATAGCTCTGAATCAAAGCCTATCATAAACTGAAAGTGGTCTTTATGGAAGCCTTCATCAACAGAAAACATGCAATGTTTGCCTACCCAATATCACCTGCCCCTAACAGCTGGTGTCTGCCTCAGCCAACTCTCTGTTTTTATGCATCATTAAAGGACTTTAAGATCAGAGGTGAAAACATTAACAAAATTTTGCTTTCAAATTAAATTTATTTTGGGTGTTTTACTCTTTTATTTCCTTAATCAAAAAAATTCTCTAAATTCTCCCTTTTATCATTTATAAAAAAATTTGGCATAAAAACAGAAACAAAACCAAACACAGCTTACTTTTTCTCTGTTGTCTGCATTATAAATTAAACCTTCATATGCAAATTTTGAGGGGAAAAAATCTTCTGTTAAATTAAGAATTTGTTTTATGAATCCTTGATTTTGATGTACAATTATTAAAATTATATATAATTTTTAATAGAAATTGCATTTGTACATATACCTTGATTATTGCAAAAAAAAATAAAATGAAGTCCATTTATATTAATGTTATAACATTTCTGTCTGAATATTATTTGTGATTGTTCAATTTGCTAAAGGGTTTGTTTCTCAGAAGTATTAAACCTGAATATTGTAGAAGTACTTTTTTTTTCCATGGGGTATTAATTTATGTATGTGGCCACAAATTTTTCGCGAAAATTCCCAGCTTACTTAAAATGCATTTAAGGCATATAGAAGCAGTTTAAGAAATTTTTATTTTCTACACATGGATTGAACAGAAATTGTGATTCGGAATCCGTGGATCATGAAAACATAGGTAATCAGAGATTACAGAGCTCACCTCAACGAATGTTGTCTTTAAGTAAGGCAAAGTCCCACACTAAACTAATAATCTAGGAGTGTGCATCCCTAGATGCAACATTTATGCAATTTTGGTCTGATAGGGCTTGCAGTTACTTGGGAGTGGACTTATCTGAAAACTTAAAACTAGTCACTCATTCAGAAAATTTTAGTCAAATCCAGCATCCGAAGTTTTGAGATTGTTCGTCCCTTGATGCATCATCCATGCAAGTTTGGTTCAGATAGGCCTTATAGTTACTTGGAAATGAGATCTGCTCCAAAAACTTTAATCTGGTCACTCATCCGGAAAATATTGGTCAGATCCAGCATCTGAAGCAAGTCCAGTTGTGTGAATCCTAAGATGTATCATCCATGCAAGTTTGGTCAATATAGGGTTTATAGTTACTTGGAAATGACATCTGCTCCAAAAACTTTAACCTGGTCACTCATCCAGAAAATATAGGTCAGATTCAGCATCTGAAGCAAGTTCAGTAGTGTGCATCCTTAAATGTATCATCCATGCAAGTTTGGTCAATATAGGGCTTTTAGTTACTTGGAAATGGGATCTGCTCCAAAAACTTTAACCTGGTCACTCATCCGGAAAATATAGGTCAGATCCACCATCCGAAGCAAGTCCAGTAGTGTGCATCCTTAAATGTATCATCCATGCAAGTTTGGTCAATATAGGGCTTTTAGTTACTTGGAAATGAGATCTGCTCCAAAAACTTTAACCTGGTCACTCATCCGGAAGATATAGGTCAGATCCAGCATCCGAAGCAAGTCCAGTAGTGTGCATCCTTAAATGTATCATCCATGCAAGTTTGGTCAATATAGGGCTTTTAGTTACTTGGAAATGAGATCTGCTCCAAAAACTTTAACCTGGTCACTCATCCGGAAGATATAGGTCAGATCCAGCATCCGAAGCAAGTCAAGTAGTGTGCATCCTTAGATGTATCATCCATGCAAGTTTGGTCAATATAGGGCTTATAGTTACTTGGAAATGAGATCTACTCCAAAAACCTTAACCTAGTCACTCATCCGGAAAATGTAGGTCAGATCCAGCATCCGAAGCAAGTTCAGTAGTGTGCATCCTTAGATGTATCATCCATGCAAGTTTGGTCAATTTAGGGCTTATAGTTACTTGGAAATGAGACCTGCTCCAAAAACTTTAACCTGCTCCAAAAACATTAACCTGGTCATTCTTTAGCTGAAATTGCAGCATCTGAAACCTTGACTGGTACAATGAAACACACTAGAAGCATCCTCCATGCATATCTGACTAATATAGGCCATAGAAGTACTTGAAAAGAAAACTGCTCCAAAAACCTTAACCTGGGACGCCGACGCCGAGGGTATTACATAAGCTCCCCCAACTTCGTTGAGGTGAGCTAAAAAGTACATTCACATTTAATTTCAGAAACACAGTACAGTGAAAAAACTACATTGTAAATAAATAACCACTGCAAATGAACTGCATAATACTTGCATTTAACATGATACATTCTGCAAATTGGACAACCCATGGATAATTTTTTGTTCCCTAAAACTCAAGCTTTAAGAGGGAGATCTTTACACTGAAAATCATTTTTCTCACATTTAAGTTCCCATTACTACTAAGCATTACTACTAAGCATAAACACAGTAAACATGATAAATATATCTGAAACCTATCTCCTTTTCAATGTACTGAAGAAGGGGCCCCCTAATGACTTTACCATGTATGATGCTGGTCACAAGTTTTCCATTAACATGATTAAGGATGTGTAATATCAGCAATCCCACATAAGCATTAAAAATATCACCATTTTCAAACAGCAGTGCTCCAAGTCACATACTATCAGGTCGCTAAATGGCGACCCAAAATTTTTTAGTTGCCATTTCAGAATTTCTGGTTGCCATCAACAGATATTTCACTAGCCATGGTGAAAGCATCTTATGAATATCACATTTAGTATAGCAAAGAACAAACACTTGTATATGTACATGTATGTATAATGTCTTTTTTAAATCAAAGATAACTTATTACTGTGACTTACCAATTTGCTAGGCTGAAGGAATCACTTATGAAATACTGTTATAACATAGAATCATCTGTATGGTTGTACACAGAAGAACATATTAAGTGATTTTATCCTAGAATTAAAGTTAAATCTTATGAATTTGCTACAAGTTAAACTGATGTGTGCATCAGGTAGAAACTTTGAGAGAGAACTTTATCAGCTGTTTGTCATGTCTACTTTATTACTACATACCTAACACAGGCGTCGGAAGCAAATTGAAAGTGAGGTGGCTAATTGAAAGGAGGGGGCTAAACCAACGAAAAAAAGGTAAGTCCCAATTTTCAATGCCTATATTATGTCGATCTTTGCAAAAAAAGTGGGGGGGCTAAGCCCCCCCCAGCCCCCCCGGTTCCAACGCCTATGCCTAACCTATTAAACAGTTGCTGTTAATATTGCCAACACATGATGATATACTGATATTGACCAAATGCTCCTTTAACAAGGTCGGGCTTTAAAAAGTCTACATTTAGCAGCCATTCTTTACAGCATGCTGTCACAACATTACGTAATCTCAGTCTTTGAGATGCTTTACAAAGTTTTAGGAATGTCTTCAAACATTTTCTTGATAGAGAATTGTGGCAGTCAGACATCCTTGATCGCTGGTGGCCAGATAGCTCAGTTGGTAGAGCACCTGACTGGAGATTCAGGGGGCCAGGGTTCGAATCCAGGTCTGGTCCATCACATTTTTCTCCTCTACTGTTACAGAATATTGGAAAAAAGTAATCTCGATCCCGATCATAAAAATGGACAATCGCTGGTCCAAATTTTCTCAGTTGCGAAAATGCAAATTAGTTTCAATTTCTAGTCGCAAGATTAATCTTTTGATCGCAAATGTGACCATTTTAGCTGCAACTTGGAGCACTAAACAGGTATATAAAATTGATGACAATATACTTCTTAAAATGTCCTTTCATTCAAAATACGGTAAACATTTATTGCATGCATTCTTCTGGTTTTCTGAAGGTAGATGTTTCTATAAGATCTTGAGACTGGAAATATTTATAGGATAGTACCTCCAAAAAAAGATATTTTACAGAAGTTTTTAAAAACAGATTGTATGCATGTTTTTTTTTTATTGCTAATGTTTACCACACAATCTATTTTTTCATCTCAATATTGAAATCCCCCAATGTTCTTATTTATAGATTTTCTAGATATTGGTGTATTTAATGTATTTACGATTGATTTACATTGTCATGTGATCACATCATAAGAAATCAAATGTATTCACAGTAAAAAGTCCACTTCTTGGATGTTTCAAGATTTTTTTTGTACATCTTCTAAACTATATAGAAAGAAGATAGCTTTAGAGGAAAATTATAATATTATTATAAATATTTATTATAAATATTTGTTTTGGCAATAATAAAGTTCGTACAAACTGTACAAACCATATATGTAGGAAGACAAGCATTTTTGAAACTTTCACAAAAATTTCCATTTTTATAATTAAACTCTGAGGGATGTCAGACTTAGCTAACTAGTTAATGAGCAATAGACTATATACAGCACATCAATCTGACATACTGTCCTTGACCTTACCTTTCCAGCAGTTGAAGGACAGCTAACTTTTTCGTGGATGTAGTGGGGACCTAGTTGACCCTGGCCTCTATGACAATCATCCACAACCTGATTAAACTTTCTCTCGACATCTGACATTTTATACCGACAGATCACGCTAGACACCAATCCTAGATGTCTTTCCTGTTCTCGTAGTTTTCTGAACACCATATACAAGTCGCCACTGCTCTCCTGAAAATCGGCACTCTGCACAGCAGAGAGATCATTCTTGCCACACACCACTGGTATGTCTACGTAAGTGTCAATACTCAAATTTGACTTACAAAGTCGCATGATTCGAGATTCCTTTCCATTGTACCTAGAGATAAAGTACACAAAATTTCCATAGGAAAATCCGTAAATAAATCTAAGATGGGGGTCTGTTTCATTGCTCTCCCTTGTATACACAGAGGATTGATCACCAGAGGGAGAGGTTGTCAATTCTAATGTGTGAGGATTTCTACTGCTGATGAGGGGAACTGCTTGAGTAAGAAACTTTGTGGCCTGGGGGCTGTACTGCACTCCATACCAACTAGCCACATAGAGTGCAGTTTGATTGTTAATTCCTGGTCCTAAAAATAATACATTGGGTGATGTAGGGTCATTGGAAACCACAGATTGATTATAAGGTGTCTTCACTTGCACTATGTTGTCTAGTGACACAACCTGGCATGAACCTTGTGGAATGGTGGTACAAATAATGAGACTAGAGTCCTCCTTGTTTAATACTAAACCTTTCACAAATACATTAACTGAACTATTTTGTCCCTTTGGTACCCGTGGTCCTATATTATGCTGCTGTAGGAGTTTGAGTTGTGGAGACAGTTTATACACTCGGTTTTTGGCTCCAAGAATGACTTGGCCATTCTCCATGTCGATCACTGGTTTTTCAAATGATGGGTCAGATTGATCGTTGGTGAAGAGAGTAAAAGTGTGTTCGATGTGCATACTTGTGATTTCATGAACAAGCCACAACACTGTTATTATATTTCTCAGGTAACTGTTTACTCTCTTCGATGCCATGGTAGAGCTTCTTGCACTCACCTGCTGTTTGCAATCTAAAATGAGTTTTTAAACATTAACAAAATCTTCTCAAACAATATGAATACAGAAAAATAAGCTGAATTCATTCCCCTAAAAATGTTAATGGCTACAAGATTACAAAATGGTTCAAACACTTTCAAATCAATTAAAGGCTTTTCAAAATCCATTCCATATTTCTTCTTCACAAATCACTTTATATGCCAACTTAATTAATTCATATAATGCCAACTTAATTAATTCATGACTTTCAACATTAAACCTTGAAAATGGCATTTCTTTTAAAAATTATTACTTTAGAACTAAGGTACATGGTATTCCATTCATAATTACAAAGCCTATAAAATTCCAAAACTTTTCAAGAGCCATAGTCGGGAGTTTTTCACTTTACTTTAAGATCAGGTTGATTAAAACTTTCAGTGGCCTGCATGTGCCATGATGTATAGAATAATTTCATCTGGATTAGAAAAATCAAAGGAATCTACATTCTTTTCAATTTTTTAAATTTATGAGTGGAATTAATTAATTATCAAATTGATTTTTATTTATTGTATATTACTAAACTCTTGCAGCACCTTATTTTCGATAAATAGGTATTTGGTATTTACAAGCAAGACAAGATATTATTGTTCCATATAATCTATCTATACTAATAAAAATATACACCAGAATGACGCTTTTGTGAGCAGACCGTCTAGCATAATTATGCAATAAACTTCTCGCAATTTTTTTCAACTAACAGCTTCTTAATTAAATAGTCTTTTTTATTCATCATCAACCTTTATCAATCATATTTCAGTTTTTTTAATCGTTAAGGTCTACTTTGATATTCTTAAGAACACCTTTCCCCAAGTTATTAAAAGGAGCTCATGTATTTCAACAATATACATAATTATCATAAATTCAAATTTTCCATGTATTTATCTCTCTTCCTAAGCATTACATTCAAGCACAATATCCTTTAATTTATTCAACTTAAAGTCTGTGAACATAATAATTCCATGAAATAGCTAATAGACTATCAACCATGATCTCAGGTACAGAGACTGCATGCAGCCAAGAGATTATAAAGATGTTGTAGCCTAAGGAACAACAAGAAATAAAGTGTTAAACAAATACACAACAGAATAAAGCCATCTTACCAGATCAGCTAGTGAATGCACACATCTGCAGATGTATATCCAAAGGTTTCAACACAATATGCACTCCTGTGAAAATACAAATAGGATTTTTTACGAGTGCTATATCAGAGAAATTGGTAATGTCCTTTTTCTGTACTATTGATTAAATTAACAATACAAGTCAACTTTTTTCTCTCCACAATTAGACAAAAGGATGAGAATTATTTTCTCACAAGCACCAGGCCTAGCACCACTTTAACACTCCCCTTACAAAGCCATCGCTTCAAAAAGATGGCCTGCCTTCTGTATCAAAATCGACACATCTATTGCTCTCTTCACAAATGCTAACCGCATGTTAACGTCTTTTATTTTATCATAATTTTATCGTCTACTGTAGAATGTTCTTCTTTTGTGCCTTTGTAAGAACCCATTCTGTACAGCTGTACAAAGCAAATCACAACCTTTAGCAGAGTATTGATGATGCCTCCATTAATCATTTCTGTATAGCATAAAAATCAAACCTAATAGCGATTTCAGTCATTTCTTCATTAAACACTCTTTTACACAGACTCAGTTTCAATAATAAATATTCCAAATTTACATTCTTTGCTTTGCTTTTAATTCTATATGACACATTCAATGAATTAAAAAAGATTTAAATTTTCAAAAATTTTTTTTAGGTAATGTCAGAATGGGAGTGGATCAAAGCAATGACTTTGATGATATTGGCTAACTGAATGTGCCTTTCTTAGTGACTAAAGACAAATTTATTTTACAAGATATTCCTAAAGACTATTAAACTTCAATAATTGATTCAACTATATCTTCATTACCATTTCCAATGATTTTATGAATTAATTTTAATGAAGCTCTGAATCACTTTAATGTAAGGTTGACTGAATGAAATCACATTTTTTTGTAGTTTATGTGACAATATCTCTTTATCCAGTATCTTCGGTACAATGCACTTATAAAACAGTTCGACATTGTGTCATTTCCCTGTAAATTGACATCATCTATTAATTGAAACAGGCAGATAGGGGCCCCTTGATTCCATTGTTGTTGGTGCTCCTGAATTGATTATCGATTTCCAAACTTTTTATCTGACAAACTATAATTGAATTTATCAAACAAAGCAGCATTGCAATTCATTACTACAAAAATTTATCTGACAGAATGATTATTTCTGAATATCTCTCGAGTCAGTTTATCCTTCTTAACTTAATGGACTCAGTCAGATTCCACCCATTATAACACACATTATAATTCTTCATTAAGTATCTACGAGAGAGAGAGAGAGAGAGAGAGAGAGAGAGAGAGAGAGAGAGAGAATGAGGGAGGGATGGAGGAAGAAAAAGAGAGAGAGAGAATTTAACTCTTGTAAGATGCCTACCTTATTAATCTTCCTCCATGTAAACAAGTACCCAGTTAAATCTATAATGGGTTTTTTTCTTTAAACAGCTGTCTACAGAGCTTTACATAAGAGTCCACATTAACATTCCTCTGCTTGTAAAATCCCTGGCTGCATAGGATTTAATGTCTGCAAGAAAACCCAATTATATCCAGGTTATTTGTACATAAACTAAACACACATACGACCCTCAGTAGACATGTTAAACATGCAGTCTTAAACACAAAACATCAAACAAAGGAGCAGGCACGGGCCTTCCTGAAATCTTTGTGTACTCTGGGGATGGGGATAATTCTTACAACCTTGAGGCTTATCATGCTTATAACTAAGACAAGAACATATTTTTAGATTCTTTCATCATCAGATTAATCTTCAATATAATCAGAAATTTAACTGCAGAAAAAAAGTATTCTTCAGAAAATGCAGTAAAACTCTTTCCTCCTTGTGATCACTGAGGGAATTAGCTTCTGGCATGATATAATTTTACTTTGAGATTATACCAATTAATACCAGCAATTATGCAGAGCACTCACAGTCTCAGCAATCGAACATTTCTGCATGATGTGAAAATCCCACATGCATCACCAATGTTATAATGCAATATTCAAAGATTTACTTCCTCAATAACTAAGCAATTTGTTATTAGAATTTTTTTTTATTGTGTATTCGAAGAGAAACAAAGGAAAGAAAAATAAAATGTAAAACACCCTTTCCCCACCCAGTGATACAGGACATTCTTTATATCGTGAAAATACTATTTTTCTTGAATTCAGAAATATTTTGTTGTTGCATGAGGGAACTAAGACAGAATATCCATGATACAGTGTATTTTGTAATTCAGAAATTTACATATTTTTGTATCATTGACATATTTGACAAATATTAAAAAAATCAATGTTTTAACAATCTGTTCTTTGGATCTATATTTTGAAAATTCCCATATTAACTTTTTTTTTCCTCCAGGAAATTAAATATCAAAGAAAACCAGGAATTTTATTTGCATCAGCTGCACCAATCAATATAAAACTACCACTGCATTCACAAAAGAAAAAAATTGCCTGCTTTCAAGCAGTGCACTAGACTGCAGAGTTCCTCTGATGTGGAATTATTAGGGTGAGCAAGGTATGGAAATGAACATGAGTCATCTCATTGTGAACACATTTTTCCACCATCTAGCACCAGTAAATGTTACAGAGAAACACATTTAGTCATGAAATAGTCATGAAATATTAAAATTAATATACTAACTTGTAGATTTTATAACAGATATATAAATCATGAGTAACAATACCCTGCACTGACTTAAACTATATCCAATCAGTGATGATATTCAATATTTCAGCAATATAATCAATCTTTCTGAACAATTTTATGTACAGTTACTGGCTGTAGAAAGAAACTCCATTGTAGAAAAATCTACAAAAAACACAAGTATTTTTTTAATATCTGATGCAGAACAGTAACTTAAAAACTCATTCATGTCATAATCAAATACATGAAATTGTAATCAATAATGCAAATGCATACCCCAAATCTTCCTCTTCAGCAAGAAAATCTCACAATTAGTTACTGCATTGCAGGACTCACTTACTCTTACACAGTGTATTACATTGAAGGAACTGAATGGACCAATGCATTCCCCATTCAAATTTATAGGTATTTTTTCTCCAATGCATGCTGTAATTTTCCAGATTGATAGAGTAACTGTTTATAATAATACACATGATAACAGAAGTGTGATTATTTTTTATTTTATTTTTTTTAAATAAATGTTGATATTCTCAATTTCCCCAAAAGAAAACCATCACTGTGTAATTTTCTCAGTGTAACAGCCACTGGTTTGCAAATAACCACTCGCCCACTCGCAAATTCATGCGAGTGTAATGGTTTGGGCTGTGGATATCAGCCTGAGTAGCTCATTAAGTAGAGCACCTGACTAGTGATGCAGGGGTCCCGGGTTTGATTCCCGGTCCAGCCATACATTTTCTCCTTTCCTGTTACACGAGTAATTTTGCCTGTGGGCGACCAACTCTTGAGCATGTTACTGCCCACATGCCGAGAAAGAATTTTATCGAACCTTTTCCGGAACTTCATCATGGTTTAGTTCTTGATCATGGTTTAGTTCCACTATTGAATGCACTTTCATTTCAACTGTTTTCTTCCTATAAAACATTTTCAAGACCCAGAGTTGTATCGATGATACTCTTCCTTAAAAGAATGAAAATTCCTTCAACATTTATTACATTTTTCTTTTATGTATCAAACAGTATTAGGTTTTTGTCCATCTCCTATCAAGATGCACACAGTTGCAAACTGTATATTATTTACAATTCGTAGCTTTATATTCATTTATTTTCCTCCTGATTTTTGGCTGCAACCATGGTAGTATTAGAATAATCAAACTGTGCTGTGGGACAAGCTCTCACCACACAATTATCTTAATGATAAAACGTTCCATATACTATCGTGGGTATAAAAATATTTCATGTTATGAACTTTATAAGTCAGTAAAGCACGCTCTCTATAATTTTACAATAGAAACATATAATTCAAAATACATGTCTTGAAGTGAATGAAAACATGAAATTTCATACAAGTGGTGCTGAAAAATGGAATGGAAAAGTGGAAAAATTGAAATGAAGGACATTGAACAGAAAAGTATTTTTCTCTGATTAAAAGAAAAGATCGATTTTTTTTTTAAACTAAGTGAACAGAAAATTGTGGGCCCCAAAATATCAATGTGGACTAGTAAAACTTGTGAATTTAAGGGCCCACATGACCCCTAAAGTTTTAAAGGCAGAGATTTTTTACCGGGTGGTAAATTCCAGGTGAGGGAGGGGCTTATTTTGTACAGGTGTGAATGCCTTGAGGGCTAGCAAACTACCTGAGGTCGTCTGTCTCCTAATCCCTATACACAGGAAGTGATTTAATACACAGTGGAGTACCTAAGAAGTCAAACTTTACCTATGTTGGGATTTTGAGATGATTTTAAGTTAGAAATAAAAAGTTGTAAATAAAGTTTAATCTAAATAATTTTTATTAATTGTAATTGAATGTGTGTCAAAGCATCCCCACTCATTAAAAAAAAATTAATTATCATAATATTTGTTGAGCTTTGAAAAAAAAAGTTATATCAAATTTTGATATATATTATCATAAAGAATATCATAATTATTTTATGCCCTGTTCACACGGAGAGTTTAATTCGAATTAAACGTAAGTTACTGCGAATTAAATTTGATCCGCGTTCACACGGAGAATTTAATGCGAATTAGTTTAATTCGAATTAGTTTACTGCGCATTAAATTACTTCGCATCAGCTCCGTGTGAACGCTAAGCAAAGCTAATTCGAATTAAATTTTGACGCATGCGTAAGGGCAGAATTAAGTCACAGGTCACATGCCGATGGTCAAATATAGGTACTTGAGCTATTTTTGAGTGAAGAACAAAGGAAAATTATGTTAATCACTAAAATGTGTACAGACACTATGACATTATGTCAAATGTATCTGCTCTGCACAATATGACGTTATTTGTAAATGACGTCATAATAGCCTCACTGAATAGCCTTGTTGTAGAAATAAAATTATAATTCGCATTAGTTTACTTCGCATTGGCTGTCGTGTGAACGTAATTTAATTCGCATTAGTTTAATTCGAATCATTTTACTTCGCATTAATTTACTGCGAATTAAACTCTCCGTGTGAACAGGGCATTAAATACTAAAGATGTGTATAAATATTATCATGCTAAATATTCTATAGTAATACAGCTTCTCTGAATTGTTTATACCATGTGTGGTAAATATCAAAGGATCAAATGTTAATTTGAAGGTCACCATGAGTGTCAAACAATGTGTACAGGGTATACACAGGGACGAGTAAGTAAATGTCAATCAAGTTCTAGCACCCAATGATGTACCTTAATGCACTTGATTGACAGGGGTACACAGACCAGGTATTTTGGAAGGCAGTGCTTAAAATCTCTGCCTTTAAGTGTTATTTGCAACCCTGACAGACCTAACCCCTGTAGAAACAAGCAGATTGAAAGTATTGCATTATGATACCAAATGAATACATGTATATCAAAAACTATCAACTTCAGTGGCACACCCATCAAACAGACTTTGGATCAGGTGAGCTAATAATCTGTCTACATTGGAATTTAAACCTTCAACCTTTCATTGATTACTACTTAGCACCAAGCCAGTAATCTACATACATTTATAGATATGACATAATTTACCTGAAAGTATAGAAATTTACTTCTCTTGTTTAGTAAGCATGGTATTGAATCATGCCCAATGTTTCTTGGCTGGCTACTTGACAAATAAAAAAAAACATCTGACCTAGTTAACTACCTAAAGGATGCAATCTGATACATACATTGTAAATTTACAATGTATCAATATCTGATTATTTTTTTTTTATATCAATTATTACAAAGAACTTTGCTTTTTCTACATAAACATACAAGAGAACATTTGAAGTCAGCCATACCCCATCTCTAAAATTAAATTTTTATACATATTTTTTAAATTACTGAAGGGGAAAAAATTGAATAAATTATTAACACAGGGTTATTAAGGAAAACTTAGAGGTCTACATTTCGTACCTACCCCTAAAACAGACTTCCCAGTATGCAGATAGTGGCAGAGTTATGACAGAAATAATGAGTTAAATCAATTGTTTCCTGGTCCTCTGAGGTGAGTCACCTCCGTTTCACCAGCAGAGCTTTGACTCATTGGTTCTAGGCTAAATCAATACAAAATCAGACCATTAACACAGGTGCTCTGCCAGAATTCATATATTTTTTAAATGACAGTTTCTATATTAAAATTCCTGACATGGATTTGGCTACATTACCAAAAAGTTTACAAGTTTAAAGATTTTCAGGAATCAGACATGAAAGACAATAGGGCTGGAACAATACATCGAGATATCGATAATATCAATTCAATGTGAGGATGATACGCATATATATCAATACATATGAAGAAATACCGAACTATCGCCAAAAAATTCTAACTTATATGTTTTTCTTTGTTAACTTAACATTTTGGGTTAAATATAATATAATATAAATATGCTAAATATTAATATAAATATGAAATACATAATACATAATAATTAACATCACTTGTGTAAAATTATTTTCTTTTACAATTGGTATACAACTTCTTTGAAAAATTATTCATATTTGTGAAGAAATGTTTTGTTCATTTCAATACAAAAAAGACATTTTATAACCAATTCTCAATCAACATATTGTGATACATATTGTATCATGACTCAAATATCATGATACATATCGATGTAGAAAAAGTTGTATCATCCCAGCCCTAAAAGACAAATTGTCAATGCCATTATTTTAGCAATTTTATTTACAATTATAATAATATTTAGATATGAAGTCAAACTTAAATAACTGTAGTCTTGATATATTTGCAGAAATTCATAGTTATATATAATTATACTTTTAAATTTTGAAACCCTGTTGTTGCCTCACTCTTACCCCAAAAAACCTGGATTTGAACAGGCAAACTTAAATTTTCTCTAAAAGGGGATGCCCATTTATAGTATTTTTCTTATTATGTATTTAATATATAATATATTGGTGAGATATGCATATTTTAAAACCTCTACACATTTGACATTCCATTGTGAAACTATGGCTCCTCTCTAGTTCCATGGGGCATGGACCATATAAGATTTATAACAAATTTGTATGTACATTCAGTAAGGCCATCTTTAAAAAAAAAGTTTGTTTAGAGTTGCTGCGTTGGGGATTTCAGACTAAGGAGCGAGGGGGGGACTTTTTTTTTCAAAATTGAAGGTAAATTAAGTACTGTTGATATTATTTATTACTATTTGCAAAGGTATCTCCCATCAACAAAGAACCCAGTTTTTACCTAGAATCTGACACTAAGTAAGTGTTACGGTGGTGCATGTGATAACAGCCAAGAATTGACTGAATAAAAAAAATCTTATTTTTGGTCAAAAAAATTTCCAGGAGGGGTCATTTCAATGAGGCGGAAAACAATTCCAAACAAACAATAATTTTATTTTGGCCTAAGGAAGTTTTCACTCAAGTTTGCAGGTCTTTTTTATTGGAGTGGTCTTTGAGATTGAAGAAATTTTTTAAATTTTCATTCTCAGGGCTCTAATTGGCGACCAATTTAGTCGCCATGGTGCCTAAAATTTTTGATTGGCGTCTAAAAATTTTCCATAAGTCGCCAAATTGGAGACTATTTTAAATTGACTTGGCAATCATCGGATTCCGGAAATTTTGAACAATTTTTCTGAAAAAGCGAAAAGAAATTTATAAGAAGAGGAAATTATTTTAAGCAATTGACATGTGTTTTCTTAGTCATGTCATTGTTCCCTATATTGATTATATTAACTTTTGGTGCCTTAAAAAAATTGCCTGGCGACTAAAAATTTGTATTGGCGACTAAATTTTTTTGATAAGGCGCCAGCTGGCACCTAAATTTTAGAAGCCACTTAAAGGCCTGATTATTTAATATTTATAATTTCCTCTAAAGAGGAACCACTTCCCATGCAGACAGAATCCCCATCACCAATGGATGCTTATTTGCCTTAATCTTTGAGAATGCCTTCCATCTCTTCAACTCTTTATGAAGTCTGGTATATTTGCACAGTCTATGGTCAAATCATTATCAAGTAGAAAATGTTTAGATATAAACACAGAGAAGTGAACCTCCAATTCTGATTGTTCTCTAACTAGGGCTGTGTCAATATATCGATACGTACCGGTATCCAAGAATGCATCGTATTGAAAAAATAACTTCCAATATGTATCGGGCAGGCAGTTTTTCTTATAATTCTGTGAAAAGGTTAGGAATTTCAATCACCAAAGATTATATTTAAATGTTTTGAATTAAAATTGATCAATAATGATAGAATTGTAGTAAATAACGAGGCAGCACATCTTAGATAATTATTACAAAATGAACAATTATTACAAAATACACAGGCAATTTTATTTTAATATGTTGGTTTTACAGTCGTTAAAAAGTTTGAATTTGAAGTGTATTTTGTAACGACAGTGAGACAAACACTTCGAAATGGGTTATAAAACATTCAGTTTTTTTTTTTCTAAATTTCTGCATTAAAATGATTTATAAGACTTTTTTACGCTGCAACATGTTGACTCAGGATCCCTGACATTGTGATGATGTGAAGATGACATTCCTCCTGCTCCAAAAACTAATATATTTTTTATCAAAAATAAAGGAGTAAAAATCACAATACAACTTAAGAGACGTATTGTATATTTACTCCCTTACTTTAAGTCTACATTCTCCAAGGAATGTTTCTGTACAAACAGTTTGGGGATGGGGGGGGGGGGGAGGATCAGACCAGAAATGCTGCTAAATCCAAACCTGCTACGCTTTCAGCTCAGTTATAACTGAGCTCTTCTTGTTGTCTGCTTTATAACAGTACTTTGGTTTAGACAGTCGCTCACCAATAATTTCATCATGATTGAAAAAGATACACTAACGTTAGTGTTAGAATATTTTGGCAACTTAGCTGTTTTCAGGTGTTTGCATAATGACTAATGTTTCGGGAGCATTGTTCATAATAAAATTTACATTATTGGTATTTTCTTTGTGGAACAAATTGACATGCTTATAGACTTATTATTTCAATGTAAACAATAATTTATCTGTGTTCATCTGACACTTACCTTTAACTTTAGCGCGAACAAAGGCAATCCCGGCAAAAAGTTTTATTACCACACAGTTTCCGGTTTCTCTAATAAACGCAATAGTCGGATGGCCGTCACAGAACATGAATAATTTGATGAAGGTGTCAAGCACCGTTTACTTACGTGATTTCTTTTTTATTCCCTGAAACACTTCATCGGGGATGTTTCTGTGATTTAATTTAAATATTTTCACATTTATTTCAGATTGTAATGATGCAGCATTACGAGTTATCTTTCTTGGCTGTTGACGAGCAACAAGAGGCCCAAGGGCCATAATGGTCACCTGGGTATAACACACCACTGTAAAGGAAATAAACAGATAGATGAAACTATATTGCCCAAGAGCAAGTGAAAGAGGATGATCAGTGATCAACGAAACAATTAATCTGTAGTATTTCATAACATATTTCTTAAAGTAAATATATTTACTTATGTGTACTACATCACCATGAAAACTAAACAAAACAATAGTGCTTGAGTCAAACTTATTCCCCCCTGACATCTCTTTATCTTTGAATAACATATAATGTATAAAGATAAAGTATTTTGTCTCATTTTTATTAATCTTTTATTCAGAAGTCTACCCGATCCTTTAAAACCATGAAAGTGAGTTTTATATGATATATTATAAAATTCTTGTATAAATCTCTTATTCAATTGACCTTTCAATTACATCGTTAACAGTGATTATATCATAAGTGAATAGCAAAGGGAAATAACTTCTCCCAGTAGAATACAAATTAATAGAGTGCTGCCCAGGACCAACAATTGACCAAGTGGTCCAGAATTTCAGCCCAATGTGATAAAAATACCTTTGCTTATTACAACTTATTACTTTGTTTGCTAATGAGCAAACCAGAAGATTTTCAGAGAAATAATGTTTTTTTTTTTTTTACTATAGATTCAACACAGCCTCTTCCTAACACTAAATCCCTGACCCTATGGTGTCCGGATAGGACCATTTCAAAGAAAAAAGCAGTGTAAAATTAACAACTATGATATATAAATATTATTGCCATTTATAGTGCAAATTTTAATGTAGATGTCCTGAAAATATTTTTGACGTTTTGCCGCGATATCCCATGATTTCATGATTTTCTCTCCTCGAACTCCAATACAAAAAACGTCAATATTTGTACTTTTAATTCTTTAAAATTCGTCTGAACGCAGATTAAAAAGTTCACGATAAATAATTTATCGGAAAAGTTATATTTCGCTTGTGACAATTGCTTTCACCTCATATTCCATTATAATTGTAAACTATACAGTTTAGGCACGTGTCATTCACGTGGTGCAAATAAACAGATTGCTCCGGTTTGTACGACCCTTTGATTTCCGGCAGATTCTAATTACGTTAATTTTGTTTGAGGAGAGAATATTCATGTTTCTCAAACTGTTGACATCAACTTTATACCTCATTTCTTAATGATATATTGGGTAAATTTGACCGGAAAACACACGTTTTGCAGCCGTACTGTCGCTTTATAATGAATTTATGCATTTCACTATCTGATCTATATGGCCTACCCTAACACCAGAACCTCTTACCCAGCGGCCAAGAAATTCACAATTTTGAAAGAAGCACCCTTGCTCATCATTGCCATGGACTTTGTTTATTTGCTAAATACCCCAAAACAGAGAAATTCAAAGAATTAATGCATATCATTTTCACATAACCCATAGAGCCCTGAAACCCAGAAACCCGATCCTGGGGCTATGGAATTCATAATTTTGGAAGAGGCTTCCTTGCTGATCATAACCATGCATTTTTTATTTACTACCCAAGAGCAGAGATGAACATTTTCAAAGAAATAATACATTTTCACTATAAAATTCATATAGCCACCCCCTACTCAAGAACCCCTGACCCAGGGGATGTGAAATTAACAATTTTGGAGGAGGCATCCTTGCTTATCATAACCATGTACTTACATTTTTTTCTTTAATACCCACGAGCAAAGAAGAGGAATTTCAAAGAATTAATGCATTTTCACTATATAATCATTAGAGTCCCACCGCAACACCAGAGCCCCCTCCCCAGGGGCCATGAAATTCCCAATTTGGAAGAGGCACCCTTGTTTATCATAACTACATATATATACTTAGTTTGTTTGCTTAATGCCCAGGAACAGAGAGGAAGATTTTCAACGAAATAATGCTTTTACACTATATAATCATTAGAGCCCCCCCCCCAACTCCTGACCCTGGGGTCACAAATTTCAAGATTTTGAAAAAGGCATCATTGCTCATCATAACCATGCAGGCACTTAATTTATCTGTTAAATATACGGGGGGGGGGGGGGGGGGGAGAAAATTTTTGAAGAATTTATGCATTTTCAATATGATCATTAGAGCCCCATCCTTACTCCATAGCCCTTGACCCTAGGGCCATGAATTTTAAAACTTTATTAGAGGTCTCAGTGCTTATTACAACCATGGCAACAGTTCAACTGCTTGATTTCCAAGAGTAAAGAAGACGATTTTTAAATATTGCAATAATTTTGATGGTTTTAGCCCCGTCCCTCAGGCCTCGGGGGCGTGGGGGGGGGGGGTGTTCAGGAATCTTGAAATTAATTTTTGTTCAGCTTCATTCATAGATATTCTATGCCAGAATTTGTGAAATTGGTTCAGCGGTTCCAAAGAAGAAGTTGGAAATATTCAAATGTTAACACACGACGCACAACGCACGAAGACGGACAAAAACATATAGCAATAGGTCTGAGTGACTCAGGTGACCTAAAAATTGCTCACATGGCTGTAGCCAAAAAAAAAAACCACACACACACACACACATACACACACACACTAATATTGTTGAAAACCGTGACAGTTTCTAACAATTTTATCTCTTGGAGATGGAAATCAAAACCATTCCCTAAAACTGGAAAAGATCAAATACATGTATCTCGAAAACGGTTGAAAACGTTGTAAACTATATAGGCACATATAGAGGTCTAAAGTTAATTTAAACGTAAATAGTCAAAAACCAAATCACGAAACTTTGACAGTTTAGAGGCAAATTTGACATTTCAGTGCTCAATATGAGAACACAAATTTTTGTGAAACTTAAAAGATAGCTAGATCTTGTCATCCTTATTATTCACGCCCCTTGCAGATAAAAACTTTACCTTTCTGCTTATACTTTCGAGTTATGGTTGTAAAAATACAAATAACTACCTATGTTGTACAAAGAGTACTAACAGAATGAAGTCTCACACCGGTGAGCCCTGATCTTTCAAATAGTGACAGAACTTTTGTTATTACACGATCAGTACGTACTGGTCCCAGCCGACAAAGCTGGTAACAACATAGTCTTTGTTAAGGCTCATTATTTGAATTGTATTAGAGAGGAATTAGGATTTAATTTTATGGGTGGAAATCCAACTTACAACCATACCTCCCTTACTAAGGAGGAAATTCTTCAAAATCATATGTCCGATTTAGATATATTTAATATTCCCACCAATCAAAATGAATTTGAATTACCATACCTTTACTGGATTCCTAAACTTTATAAAAATCCTTACAAACAGAGATACATAGCGGGTTCCAGTAAATGTTCAACCAAGCCTCTTTCTTTACTCCTCACTAAAATATTTACTGTAATGAAGAAACTTCAGGAGTACTGTACAACAGTATATACGAGGTGTAAATCAGATGTGGATACTTAAAAACTCAAGAACTTTTGGAAAATTTGAAATCACAAAATTTTACTAAAATCAATAGCATCAAAACTTACGATTTTTCAACACTTTATACAACCATTCCCCATGATAAATTGAAGCCCAGGCTTTTTGACATCACAGACAGCTGCTTTTTCAATAAAAATGGAACTCGTAAATATACTTACCTTGTCATTGGTCATTTACAAAATTATTTTGTTAAAAAACATTCTGATTGTACACACAAGTACTCTGATGTTGATATTAAAAAGATGCTTGAGATTCTGATTGACAATATCTATGTGGTTTTTGGAGATCAGTCTTCTAACAATCTATTGGAATTTCCATGGGTACTGATTGTACCCCCTTATTAGCAGACCTATTTTTGTATTCATATGAAGCAGACTTTATTTAAAATCTTCTACATGAGAAGAAGAAAACACTTGCTGTGGCCTTCAACTCGACATTTCGATATATCGACGACGTATTATCAATTAACAAGAGTTACTTTCATTCATATGTCGACTCGATATATCCCAGTGAGCTTGAAATAAAAGATACCACAGATTCTGACACATCTGTTTCATATTCAGATATTTTACTAGAAAAGGAAGTTAATGGTAACCTAACAAGAAAGTTTTATGATAAACGTGATGACTTCAACTTTTCAATCGTCAACTTCCCTTACTTATGTAGCAATATACCCTTATCACCTGCATATGGGGTTTATATCTTTCAGTTGATTCGATACGCAAGAGCATACTCTACGTATGGACAATTTCTAAAACGAGGCAAGCTATTGACAAACAAGTTGATGAAACAAGGATATCAACAGTCTCGTTTGTAGTCATCTTTTCGCAAGTTTTACGGGATATACAATGACCTTGTCAGCACATTCAATCTATCATTGAGTCAAATGCTGACTGACGTCTTTCATATTAATTGTCAGGCCATTATTTATACTCTGAACTGTCTACAGATTTTTCCGGTTTTTTCCCCCGATCATGACAAGGAGCACACGGTAGGGGATACTCACTCCTCCATGGCACCTGATCTCACCTCTAAATTTTGAGGACCTTGTTTGCTCTGCTCCAAATTTGTATCGTTTCATTGGACTTTGGAGACTGAATACTATTTGTTATCTTCATATTTCATTCTGTTATGATTTTTGCTGAGTTTCTCAGACGATTTGCTAAATATGAAGGGGAAGATCTTGTCCCTTTGTCAGAATGCACAGCTAGAGTTTGAAATGATTGTATAATAAAGATTAAAATGCAATATGTGTTCCTTCTATCCTTCCGCTAATTCCTGTAAATTGGAAGTGATAAAAAATAAGAAGAACTATTTCATAAACAATTTTAAAAGTAATGACTCTATAG